CAAAGTGCTTTCGTGCAAGGTAGGCAAATAACAAATCAGATTTTAATAGCAAATGAGCGTGTGGAGGACATGAGAAAGTTGGGGAATCAAGGCTTTGTGTGTTAGACCTAGAGAAGGCTTATGATCTTGTGGATTGGAGTTTTTTACTAGAGATCCTTGGGTGTTATGGCTTCAGAGATAGGTGGTGCAACTGGGTAAAGGGCTGTATTAGTTCTTGCCATTACTCAGTCTTGGTTAATGGGGTGGTCAAAGACTATTTTCCAGCTTGTAGAGGTCTTAGACAAGGAGACCCACTCTCCCCATTCCTTTTCACCTTAGTTGCAAATGTCTTTAGCAGATTAATCTCCAAGACAGATAGGGAAGAGGAAGTGAGTGGGTGGAGGATTGGAAGGAACAATGTCTGGGTAACCCATCTACAGTTTGCTGACGATATCATAATATTTTGTGAAGGAGGTGACAGGCAAAAAGTGAGGAACCTTAGAGCATTGTTACAACATTTTGAGAAGGTCTCCAATTTGAAGATAAACCTGGATAAGAGTTGTGTGGTCGGTGTCAATATGAATGAGGGGATTATTCAGTCTGTGGCAAATTGTCTAGGTTGTCCTGTTTCTTCTTGGCCCTTGCAGTACCTAGGTCTCCCTCTAGGGGCTAACCCAAGAGAAAGTAGTTTTTGGAATCCAGTTTTGGAAAAATTTGAGAAAAGGTTAGTGGCTTGGAAAAGAAACTACATCTCTATAGGGGGTAGGGTGACTTTATTGAGAGCAACCCTAGCGAACCTAACGATCTACTTCTTGTCCATTTCTACTTTTTTAGGATACATAGGGAGACTAAGAAGCTGGAGAGGTTAATGAGAATTTTTCTTTGGGAACCAGGGGAGGAAAAGAAAGATCATTTAATTAATTGGGGAATAGTTTGTAGGAGCAAAGAGGAAGGTGGACCGGGGTTAGGTAGGTTAACTCTCAAGAATAAAGCCCTATTAGGAAAATGGTTGTGGAGGTGGCCTAGAGAAAGGGAGAGGTTGTGGCATGAAGTGATAGCTAGTATACATGGAAGACTGGAAAATGGATGGGATGTGGGTGTATCAAGACAAGCAATGTTGGCATCTCCTTGGAAAGCAATCCAAAGTATCCTCCCTCAATTTCTCAACTTTGTTAGGTATGATGTCAATTCTAGTAACCTTGTTTTATTTTGGGAAGACACTTGGGTGGGGACTACTGCTCTAAAGGACCAATTCCCGTCTCTTTATTCTATTTCCCTTTACAAGGAAAAAGTTCTCTCTCATTTTCTTCCATCTCCTATTTCACCTTCATCCTTAACTTGATTTTGGCTTTCGGAGAGGTTTGAGGGATGATGAACTTAACAGTGTCTCAGATCTGTTGTCTCTTCTTGGCAGTGCCTTTTTGGACCCTCTTAGTTTGGATGTGAGATTATGGTCCCCTAATCCAAAAGGGTACTTCTCTTGTGCTTCTTTTTTCAAGTCCCTTTCCTCTTCCCCGAGTCAGTGGGGTTTTTCAACCAAGGAGATTTGGTTTAGACCTATTCCACCAAAAATTGTTATTTTCTGCTAGGAGGTGCTTTATAGAAAGATTAATACCTTGGACTGCTTGCAAAAGAAAAGGCCTTTCATGTGTTTATCCCCTGACTGGTGTGTACTTTGCAGGGCTAATGGGGAGGATTGCTCCCATCTACTTGTATCTTGTTCCCTTTCTAGAGCCATTTGGAGTTGGATTTTTTCTTTGTTTGGGTGCAGGTGGAATTTGTCCACGGATTTAAGTCAGCTATTTGATCCTTCTTTTTTTGTGTGTCCTACAAAAAACGGAAAAATGATGTGGAGATGTATTAGAGCAGCCGCATTGTGGACAATTTGGGAAGAAAGGAATGCAAGAATATTCAAGGAAAAGGAAAGAAGCATTCAGGCTGTTGAGGATTGCATCTTAACTAGGGCCATTCATTGGCTGAGAACTATGGACCTCTTTCATACTTTTTCCTTTGATGATTTTTGGAGAAATTGGTTAGTGTTGGCTAGCAGCCATACAAGGAAGGACAGGGTTTCTGCAGTGTGGACCCCTTCGCCTGAAGGATGGGTAAAGCTGAATTTTGATGGCAGCAGAAAAGGAAACCCAGGCCCATCGGGAATAGGAGAGATGCTAAGAGATACGGAGAGCAATATATTAGTCTTGTTTTCAGGTCTTGTGGGATTAGGAGACTCTATTAGAGCTGAGATTTTGGCGGCGGTACAAGGTATTCAGATTGCAGAACAATTAGGAGTTCAGCATCTGGTAGTTTAAGGAGACTCTCAAATTGTTGTGGGATGGCTGACAGATCCAACTTCAGCCATGACCACACAAAGATTTATTAAGGAAAGTCAATTGGTTTACAAGAAATATGACAGTTACCTTTTGTTGGGAGGGAAGATCAGCAAACACTTTAGCGGATGGATTAGCTAAGCAGGGGGCTACTAGGGAACATTTATTTTGGGCTGCTTTGTAATTGTATTTATGACTAATTCTGTTTTTTATTTGATGTAATACTGCCCCGAAGAGGTAACAGCTCGTGCCTCTTTTGAGTTCCCTGTACTGTCTTTCTGAATTATAAATTATATTCATTCATCAAAAAAAATACAAGAAGAGCAGGCATAGGGGGTGTATTCAGAAACAACCAAGGAAAGGTAGAAGCCTTGTGTTCAGGAGTTGGGACCAATTGGCTTTGGAGACTCAGTTCAGGCTGAATAATTGGCTCTATTACAAGGAATGAGACTTGCAGTGCAACTCAAAATTAGGGAATAGGAAATTGAAGGAAGCTCACAACTAGTCATCAATTAGACCAAGAAAATCAATTCAGCCCCTTGGAAATACAGACATGCCTTCAGGGAAATTGATACCCTAGCAAAACTTATCAAAAAAAGAAATTGATACCCTATCAAAGAGGTTTAATTCTACTTTTAGCTGGGTAAGGACTGCCAACAGGATGGCAGATGTATTAGCAAAACAGGGAGTTGACAGGGCTCTCTTGTTTTGGGCAAAGTTGTAATATGATGTAATCTGGGGTGGGAGCCTTTTTACTTCTTTTTTCAGGTGGCATCTGAAAGGGGGTAGAACTATGTGGAGATGCCTAAGGAATGCGGTATGCTGGTCTCTATGGGAAGAAAGAAACTCTAGGATTTTCTCTGAAGTAGAGAGAAGTGCTGAAGAGCTGAGAGAAATGATCCATATAAGGGTGGTACAGTGGCTGAAATCATCAGAGCTGTTCACAGATTATACAGTGGATGATCTGTTAAGGAAATGGGGGGAGATTGCTAGATGTGCCAAGGTCAAAGCAGGACTGATCTTGTCTTGGATCCCTCCCCTCTCTGGTTTTTTTAAACTGAACTTTGATGGTAGTAGTAGAAGGAACCCTGGACATTCAGGGGTTGGGGGTGTGTTTAGGGATGAGAATGGGAATTTTTCAGCCCTGTTCTCAGGTCCAATTGGGGTGGGTGATTCTCTCAGAGCCAAGATTTGTGCAGTTATGGAAGGTGTCCAAAGAGCAAAGGAGATGAATATAAGAAGACTTGTAATTGAAGGGGATTCGGAGGTTTGTAGGGTGGCTGAATAAAGACAATACTGGATTATGGAATTACAACAATGAAAAGAGAAAGTTTATAGATGGCTGGTTAAAGACATGGAAATCAAGATCAGTTGGGTGAAGAGATCAGCTAACTCGTTTGCTGATGGGTTAGCTAAGCAAGGGGTGGCGAGGAAATCTATGTTCTGGGATCAGTTGTAATTTTAACTTCATTTCTTGGGGGCTCAAGCCTCAGTTGGGGAGATAAGAAAGTTTATCTCCTTTGTAATTAATACTTCTGTTTGATTAATGAAATGTATTATTGATAAATAAAAGGGGTGGGAAATTCATGAATTTTTAATGAAATCTTTTTACTGATAAAAAATTGGTGGAAATGGACAGCTCTTGCAACTTTGTCAACATGTTCTTAGCCCTTTCTTCTCAATTGGAGGACTAGGTTTATGTGAATCAATAAGAAAAGACCAAACACAAGGAAAATAGGAAAAAAAAAGGTAAAAGCCAAGAAAGAGGAAGAATAAAAGAACAGAATAATAGGGGTGCCAAATGAATGTGCAGTCTCCCCCTTACAGTGTTAATATATCAAACTTCTATACATAATGAGGACTCCTGGGATTTGGGTCAAAGAAGAGGGCTTAAGGAAGCTGAAATGGGGACTGTTAATGAAATCCATTCTCTTTTGAGTTCTGTTTTCTTGGACCAGTCTTGCCCAGATAGCCATGTTTGGATGGCCTCTCCTTTTGGAGTGTTCTCCTGCAACTCTTTTTTCACTCACCTAGTCACACTTTGTCTTTTCCAGCCAAAGATGTGACGTAATCCTGTGCCTCCAAAAATTAGGTGTTTTTTTGCTGGGAAGCAACGCTTAATAAGCTTAACACTTGTGATGTGCTTTAGAAGAGAAGGCCTAATTGGTGTCTCTCCTCTCATGTTTGCATCGTTTGTTATACTTGTGGTGAGTCAGCTGCGCACCTACTAATCTCCATTCTTTTATTTCAAATATTTGGGATTGGTTTTCCTCCCTCATTGGTTGCAGATGGTCGCCTCCGCTTTCTGTAGCAACTTTGTTTAATGCAAGCCTCCTTCGTTAAAGAAGAGGGGAAGGGTCATGTGGAGAGACAGTAGAGCAGCGATACTGTGGACAGTTTGGGAAGAAAGAAATTGTTGAGATATTGGGCCGGACATCTCTCTAGTTGTCCCTTCCTTTTTTTATCATTGTTGGACTTTAGTTGTTATGGATCTAATGCCCTTTTTATTTCTTTCATTGGTTTATTCTAGCAGCTGCCCTACTAGGGGCATTCTCGTAATCTTTGCTTTTGTTATGTTTGATCTAATAAAACAGAGAAAGTAGCTGAGAGAGAGCTACGATCTCTTCTCTCTTCTTTGTTGTTTCAGGTTTATTTTCTACTAATTTTCTATTGATTAAACACACTGTTTTACAGCATTGACTATCAACTAAAATAAGTGTATCTTCCAAGGATTAACCAAGTTGAAGGAGGAATTGATTGAAAGCTAGCTATCATTAAAGTAACACATTAGGTGAAGACAAGTGAACTATTCAAGGAGTTTTCAGTGCAAGAAATAATCAGGGGGTGGGAATGCAGTAACAAATACTTAACTATCAAGGCTGTGGTCCAGGACTTGGGCCCCTTCAAAGACTTAAGCTTAACTTTGATGGAAGTTCCATTTGGAAACCCAAGACCCTCAGGTATTGGGAGAGCTTTTAGGGATGGGGAAGGAAAGGTAGTAGCTTTATATTCCGATCCAATTGTAGTGGGAGATTCACTTGGAGCAAAACTTTTGGCCCTTTCCAAAGGTTCGAAATTGGCTAAACTGTTAAGGTTCCACTAGTGAGAGCTTTTAGTTCAGTTTATTGCTTTATTACATGTGTTATTGGGTATGTTTCTGTGTAACAGCCCTTGATCTTCATTATAGAATTAAGATAAATCATTAATTTGGTTGGAGGCTAAATGCTCTCAACTAATGAATAAACATGGGCAGTTTATCCTGACAAGTTTGACACACTTTGTATTGCCTTGTAAGGAGTGGTTTGTCTTAACCACTAGGGTCAGACTCAAGGTGTAAGTGTTGATGTTACCGAACTAGATCATTTTAGAGTATTCCTGGGGTTTATGATTGGTGGAATTTCTGGATATTGCACATGGCCTTAGACTTGATAATGATACTTACACCACCTTGTTTCTATGTTTAGTTTGATGTGGCTTGTCCCTGAGAGAATCTAAATAAGAGTCTTTATCTGAATGGTTAAACAGTTGGTTTCATAATCTTCATTTGTCCTCAGCCAAAACAGATAATGTATACTTAAAAGGTGATTACTGCATGGTGGTTAGCTCCGAACATCCATTTCTCATATTTGACCAAACATTATTCTTTTGACAATCAAAACTTAAGGTTACAGGATTACAGTCATTGTTGATCAAACCAGGTGTTATCGCTCCATAGACCATCTGAGCCCCAGCTGCTTTCTGAAATCACCCAAAGCTGGACAAGGGAAACTCATAAACTGATGAACTGTCTTCCGCATTTGCTTGTGTGGAGACTACAGGAAAAAACATCTACATTTGCCCCTTACCCAAGCAGTAGCATTTATGCTTAGGTGATTTTTGTACAAGGATTTGATGCTCGCCTCTGCTGGAAGTTAAGAGTTAATCATATAGAATGGATGAGTTTTTTGAGCAATTGAAGATTGGACTTGGCTGTTTAAATTATCAGGTTACAATACTAGCAAAGGCCAATTTTTCTCCTGTGTGAAACTGAAAGCCAATTATGTTCGCCACGTCTTGCTAAAAGATACTCATTTCAGCATCAGGTGTTTCGTTGGTGACTATGCCTCTAATTTCTTTTTCTAGCTTGGAAGGAAGATGGTAATGCTTGCAGCCCTCGTTGATTGTTTCCTGATGGATACAGTTTTCTTTGCCATGCAAAAAGCCGTTTTAAGAATGTCACATGCATAGCGAAATGTGAGGAGTCGATTAGTTTGAGTAATCAATAATTTAATATGCTTGGTATGTTTCCTTCTTGGGATTAATGCCCAATTTTCCAACAGCCTACATCCATGCCACCTGCATGAAAATAGACAGCATATTTACAGTGGACAAATAAATCCCCACATTATAATGGATGTAGAAGTTATTTTACACATTACAAAGAAATGAAAGATGCATCAAATATTCAAAGGCAACCCAAGGACAATGTCTAGCAGTGGATTTTTCTCAAGCAGAAGTAACTTGTTTCCTTTTTATACAAGAAATAGTTAATTTTAGGATAGGGCAAATTTCTTAAATTATCCCTAAGTTTTAGGAAATTGACTTATTCACCCCTACTGTTTAAAAGTTGACTTGAAAGTACTTCCAAGTTTTTTTTACAATGGATTAAATTCTGGTACAGTTAGCTTCATTAATGGAAAAATTGAAAAGATAATTTTACCCATCATTTTTTAAATTTTCAAAATGAAACATTTAAAATTTTTCAAATTAATCAATTTCGATTTTTCTCTCCATTATTCTTCAAATTACCAAATTTGTAAATCCAATCTCTTAGTCTCAATTCTTGTTTTCTCTTTCCATCTCCATGCTTTGTTGTAGTGAATGGAAGTTACAATGAGATCTTTCAAATTTGCAAATTCAATCTCCAAGTCTCAACTCTCGCTTTCCCTCCATCTCCATGCTTTGTTGCAATGAATGAAAACTACAAATAGATTCGGTACAAGTGAGAGCTGGAGGAATTACAAACGCAGTCAACATCGAAAAAGCAGTACAAGCTGATTGGGAAAACTCTTTAAGAGTGACAGCATAGTTTAGAACCTTAGCAATCTGTAAAATATTGAAGTTGTTGAGAAGAGTATAGGGTCCCAATGTGATGAGAAAAGCCCATTAGAGGCAATGAGGCCATTATTAGAAGTTGGACAAAAGTAAAGATGAACAAATTTCTGACCAGATGCAATAGGGAAAGTGTATGTAACTTTGGAAGATTAATGTTTGTTTTTTCAATGTGGTTGCTTAATTGACTTCCTATAAAACTGGTTGGTCGGTTACTCCTCTGTTCATGGTTCATCCTCGGAGATGACAGAAAGTTGGGATTAAAAGACCTAAAATTGGTCCCATTAAAATGAAAATGACTATCGGAAAGACCCCAGTTTTGGATGTCGGTACTCTAGCCAAAATCTAGAGTGGAGAAATCAAGGTAGTTCCTGGAATCCATAGATTCACCACCAAAAGGTGCAGAGTTTGTTGATGGCAGAGTTTTGGAATTTGACTCAAGTAATTCTAGCAACTAGATACAGAAGCAATGTACCTTTACAGCTTAAGGAGGAGAATTCTTTAACATCCAAGACGGTTATCCAAACACGCCATTTCTATACGGTTCAAAAGGCAAAAATGGATTTTACAGTGGGTTTCACCAAGCGAGGCTTGTTAGGAGCTTTTGCAGATGCACAGAGAGTGGCAGCAAATCTAGCACAGTAATAGAATTTTTGAAACAAAGCATTTATGCTTTGAGTTGTGACCCATACAAAACTCCTGCATATTATAACTTCCATGTCCAACCTTGTAGTTGTTGTTCATATGATTAGGCAAGCAAGATCACGCTAATAACAAAAGAGTATGTATTTAGTAAATGACAACATGAAAAGTGTTTATTCTGTAAGAAAAGAAAAACTAAAGGGTGTCTTGCTAGCACACCACTCTGCCCATGGCTCTGTTCTCCCTTTGCAACAGAGGCATTGTTGAAATTTTAAATTCTTTGAGTTTTATTTTGAAAATTTGAAGAACAAAAAAGGGCAAAATTAACATTTCACCCAAGGCCAAAAAGGTATTTTTGAAATTTAAAAGATTGGAATTTAAAAAATTATTAAGTCACATGAATTCACATGCCGGTGGTTGTAACAGCGTACTAATGGCAGGAAGTATTTAGTCAATGTCAAAAAAAAAAAACTTGGGAATACTTAAGGCAATTTTTAAACAATAAAAGTAAATAAGGTGATTAAGTCAATTTCTTAAGAAATTTGGGCTACAAATATAACATTACAATGAGAACAAATTTGACAAAACTGATACCATGAATAATCTAAGTAAACATGACTATTTCCCCAAAATAAAAGATTATGAATTCCCCATGTTACTTCAAATTTCTTAAGATATTATTTTGGCTTTTAACCTGTGGCTTCTGGAATATCAGCTGGAACAAGTCTCAAGGTTGACCCTAGAATCTTCTGGGAAGGTCCTTATTTCAAGCTTCACCAGACGGGTTGGAAGCTCTATTTTTTGGCAGTCACTCAGTCAGTAGTATCATAACAATTGCAAATCTAAACGTGTTTTGCATCATTGAGAGACAATTGATCCTATGTGCACTGCATTCCGGGCATGGCCAACTATGGATTGATCGACATCCTAAATGGTTTTTTCTTCCCTGCATTATTTTTTTTTTAATTTAATTATTTTTTGTCCCCCCCGCCCCCAACCACCATGGGCCACCATCCTCCTTATTGTATCTGTTTGAAAGGGATTGTAGCCGGTTATTAATCCAAATTCTATATCATCATCACCATCATCTAAACTTTGCCCCCATAATCCTGTTCGCCATCATGCTCTGTTCAGTGTCATATCCATGGTTAAATGGATATGTGATATATGTGATAGCGAATCAGGTGTTATTTATCAAAATTCATGAATGGGTTTTGATTGATCAAAACTCTTTCCATATCATATCTTTTCTATATCATACATTTTCTCAAAAAATTATATTAAACTACTCTCATTTTATCACCTATTGTAACCACTACTGGGTTTATTTTCAAATCTCCTTTTCTACTTCTAAGTTTTATTTTTTATTATTTCATGAAAGCACCATTATTTACAAAAATGCAGCATCAGGACAAATTCCTCGGCAGAATATAAATGAACATAATAATTATCCTTCACAAGGACAATTCTATTCTTTGTAAAAATAGTGAAAAGCTCAAAGGTCAACAAATTGCTCTCTAAATGTACTTACATTGATTTTCATTTAGGAAAAGAAGAAAGTATTACATTGATTTTCATTTTCACCAAAGTGCAGCCATGAGGAATGTTACTGAAGTTCTCTTTTTCTTTTGTTAAGATATACGTGTTGTCCAAGCGTGATTTGATCGTTGTAATGATTTCTAACTAGTGGGGCCCTGTGCATCCCAATATCCAATATCATGACAAAGGGATTGAATGGATATGTAAACCCTTACACATAAATAAACCAATGTAATTAATATATCTTTTTTTATGATACGCCGGAATCCCTCATAGGGCAATGTAATTAATATATCAAAATTTAAAATAAATAATTGAATCATGTATGTTTATATAAAACAAAGCAATGTAGTTTTAATTCTCCATGAGTTGAAGATTATTATCCATAATTAAATTACAATTACCATTCATAGTGATTTTTAAGGCGGTGTTCGGGATCGACGTTGTTTCGTAGAGGTCTTTTCAGAAAACGGTGGTGTTGCACAAGCATGGTTGGTGTTCTCAAAAAATGTTTTTTCAAGTTTTTTATTTGGTATCATTGTTGTTTCTGTTAGACCTGTTTATGGGCCGGGTAGTCTGATGGGTCGATTTGGCCCGACCCATTCTAAATCGGGCTTGGACATGACTTTAGGCCCACAGGCTTGGGTTCGGGCCTAAAACACTGAGATCGCTATATTTCGGGCTGGGTTTGGGCTTTTTTTAAAAAGTCCGGCATGAGCCCAAGCCTGACTTAATAATATATATTATATAATAATAACATTTTATTTAATAAAAAATATATACAATATTTTTTTTGTTCCTCTTCTCTTTTTTCAAGTAAGAGAGATCTTTTATTATTTTTTAGTTTTGAGGCCTTCTAATATAAATCAAACACTTTTTTTAATAAAAAAGAAGAAAAAATCTGTTTTCAAATTTTTGGTCTGACTTGGGTTCGAGCCCGGGCTTCAGGCCTGAATGTATTCTGTTGATACAAAGACAAAGCTCAGCCCATAGCTGGCCTGGCCTGCCCCATGGACAAGTCTAGTTGCTGCCACATCAACACACTATTGCTAGCAATGGTAGAAAAAATGGGAAAACGACCAAAAATGGTGTTTTCTCAGACCACACCTTTCTCGACTTCCAAGGCATGGTCTAAGAAAACATTTTTCAGAAAAACGGCTTACCAAATAGCAGGCGTTTTCTCAGAGAAGGGATTTCTGATGTGACATTGTTTTCTAAGAAAACGGCATTGATCCCAAACACATACTAAATTACAGTAGTTATAGCACTTTTATCCACTTAATTTTTTAAATTACAATAATTTAATTATCCATAATTAAATTACATAAATTATCATTGATAATTTAAATTAGTGAATTTTAAATAACAGTAATTAAATTATAATTATTGTTACTTTGTTTTAATTACAGAGATTTTTAAA